CTGCACAGAGAGAGAGAGGCAGGTACTACAGTAATAAATACTGCACCAAGAGAGACAGGTACTACAGTAATAAATACTGCAATAAGAGAGACAGGTATTACTGTAATAAGTACTGCACCGAGAGAGATAGGTAGTACAGTAATAAATACTGCACACAGAGAGAGACAGGTACTACAGTAATAAATACTGTACTGAGAGAGAGAGAAATAGGCACTATGGGTAATAAATACTGCACCACGAGAGACTGGCAGTATGGGTAATAAATACTGCGCAGAGAGAGAGACACGCGCTACAGGTAATAAATACTGTATTGGACAGAGAGAGACAGGCACTACAGGTAATAAATACTGCACTGCACCAAGAGAGACAGGCACTACAGGTAATAAATACTGCACTGAGAAAGCCCGGAACTACAGATAATATGTACTGCACTGTGAGAGACTGGCTCTACGGGACATAAATACTGCGCCACGAGAGACAGACACTACAGGTAATAATATGCATCACCCCAAGAGAGACAGGTTCTACAGGTAATAAATACTGTACAGAGAGAGACTGGCACTACAGGTAATAAATACTGCACCGCAAGAAACAGGCACTACAGTTAATAAATACTGCACTGTGAGAGATTGGCACTACGGGTAATAAATACTGCACCATGAGAGACTGGCACTACATGTCATAAATACTGCACCGCGACAGACGCACACTACAGGTAATAATACTGCATCACACCAAGAGAGACAGGCGCTATGAGTAATAAATACTGTACCGAGAGAGACTGGCACTACAGGTAATAAATCCTGCACCGCACTGAGAGAGACAGGCACTACAGGAAATAAATACTGCACAGAGAGAGAGACAGGCACCATGAGTAACAAATGCTGCACCGAGAGAGACTGGTACTACAGTTAATAAATCCTGCACTGCACCGAGAGAGACAGACACTACAGGTAATAAATCGTGCATGAAGACAGACAGGTTATACAGGTAATAAATACTGCACCGCAAGAAACAGGCACTACGGTTAATAAATACTGCACTGTGAGAGACTGGCACTACGGGTAATAAATACTGCACCACGAGAGACTGGTACTATGTGTCATAAATACTGCACCGCGACAGACGGGCACTACAGGTAATAATACTGCATCACACCGAGACAGATAGGTACTATAGGTAATAAATACCTTACTGAGAGAGACTGGCACTACAGGTAATAAATCCTGCACCGCACCGAGAGAGACAAGCACGACAGATAATAAATCCTGCTCCAAGACAGACCGGTACTACAGGTAATAAATGCTGCACTGAGAGAGACAGGCGCCACAAGCAATAAAGGCTGCACTGTGCCGAGAGAGAGGCAGGAGCCATAGCAATAAATGCTGCACCGTGCGGAAAGAGAGTGACAGGTGCCACAGGCTATAGATGTTGGACTGCACAGAGAGAGAGAGAGGTGTACCTGAAATAATAAATACTGCACCATACTGAGGGACAGGTATTAAAGATAATAAGTACTGCACCACACTGTGAGAGAGGTGCTAAAGATAGTAAATACTGCACCACACCGAGACAGAGAGAAAGATAGGTACTAAAAATAATAAATTCCAGAACCACACCAAGCGAGAAAGAGAGGCAGGTACTAAAAATTTTAAACACTGCCCCACACTGTGAGAGTGAGAGAGTGAGCAAGACAGGTACTAAATAAAATCAATGCTGTAACAGACTGAGAGAGACAGAATTCCAAAAAATAATAAGCACTGCACCACACTGAGACACGGGGACAGGTACTAAAAATAATAAATAACATGGCACACCATAAGTGAGAGATGGGTACTAAAAATAATAAATAATGGACACACTTACTAAATACAGAACTATGAAGGTACCTATCACTGAAAATAATAAATGCTAAACACTACCAATTGCCACACACCAAAATTAATAATAGTTGCATTGATTGCTGTATGGACTAAAAGGTAATGAATACTGATCAAAACACTGAGTAATAGGCACAAAAATAATATATGCAAAATAACACAGTGGGTGGACTGTCTCCAGGTCCTGAACAATGTGAGCTATGGCAAGAAATCTGGTATAATCAGGTGTGAATTTGAGCAATGATTTTCTCAACATCAGAATCAAGAAATTGCATTTTCCAGCGAGGTTCTGGATGTCAGGATGTGATTCTCACTAGTGAGAATGCCTATAAACAAGTATTATCACTCTTATTACCTTCATCGTTATTTCATATTTCCTCATTAATACTCCACTGTCCAGTTTTGACACCTGAATACTAAATGCCATGAATTCCTGATGAAAATTGAAGTGGTTTGCTTGTTCCACCAATTTCATTTTGAACACCAAGCACAAATATCTCAGAGCACATTCCATGAGCAATTGTTATTGGGAATTCAGCCCTGCTATTCCCATAATTGTCTCAAACGTTAAAGATTTTAAAATGTATATGGAATTTCCCAATTTACTTGACTTTCAATCCAGGGTGACATAAAGCATGGAGCAGGTTTCTGTACTTAACAAGAATTATTATTTATTACAAATAAATAGACTCTAGTTGCAGACAAACAATTAAGAAACGTTGGCATAAAAATCTCATAAGTAAAAATTTAGCACCCTTAAAAATTATCTTAGAAAGTCTAGGAAGGCAGTTCAGTGGTGCCTGTGCATGGCGTTTGCTGAGATGTTTCCTGTGCTGATCAGTACAGTGATTCTCAATCTTCCTCCTTTACATGCTTTCACTTGATTGCAGGAGACATGTGGTGACTGATTCAGACTTATAACGATCATTGACTCATGATTTAAAAATCACAGCTTAAAACAACTATTGAAGGAAAAATAAACTGACTTTATTCAAACATAAAGTGTTTTTTCTACAATGAACAAAGACAGCTCCTGAACTTGCAGAGATTTAATGGTTTCTCACATTCATATTCACAACTCCAAATTGTTCAGCTGCCTGGGAGCTAATCATATAGTTTTTGGCAGGCAGAAGGCTTTTTTCAATACTCAGCCATGGACCACATATTCAAATCAGTTATCTGTTGCCAGGTGAATCTCCATTTGTACACAATCCTTGGTTCCAGCTCATCTGTAAACCTACCACGATTTCTTGAAATAGCAATTATAATGAGTGTCAAGTAACTTGCTCTTAAAATGTTCTGTAATCCTTCACAATCCTTGGATTTCAAAACAGTCCATTTTCCAATTCAGTGCATAATCAAAAATACAGAAAAAAAGTCTTTACACAATGGCCACTGTTACAAAGCAGAGATGACGTTGACACCTCTCTGATAATTAAAACCAAAACACCCAGAGAAGCTTGCCTCGACTTGTAATCTGTCAAAGAAAATGTGAAAAGTGGTATAACCTGCCTCTCATCTCCCAATCTGTAAAAAGGAGAGGTGAAATAAAATGAACTCCTGACAGTCACTCTACAATCAACAAGTAATAATTTATTTATTAACAGAACTACTAACAAACTGAACAATTCCCCCTTAACTAGTAACTTTCCCAAACAAAAAGGCTAATGGTATGCTGTTCCAATAGATAGAAGCCCCACTTATATAAAGCAAATTAATAAAAAAGATTTAAAACTTAATCTGTTGAAAATACAGTCAGGATAAATCTTCCAGAATGTTCTTTGCCTCCTCTGATGTACTCCAGTGAGGAATGCTTTCCTCTATTGAATTCTTGTGTCAGGAATATTAACTAAGAGTGTCATTTATTTAGATGGTGCTGACTCTGAGAGCTTAGCGATTTCTGTGAGAGTCAGTATGTTTCTCTTCAGATGGCAGTTTGCTCTCACACTGATTTTCAAATGGCCTCTTCTTTTATACCTTGGCTGTTTCCTTTTCTTTACTTCTAACTCCAGTCATCTAATTTTCAATGTAAATTTTTCTAACTCCACTGCATTTTACTGTTTTTCTGATATACCTAAATGCTTGACTAACTCCTTTACAATTTCAGCTTTCCACTTCTCCCTAGTTAAACCCAAGTCTAGCCTGTTTGCTAAGTCTAAACGTATATCCTTCCACTGTCTTTCTAAAATTTCTTGGAAATTTGGGATGTATCTATGACCCCCAGAACCTCTTTAGCAATATTATGAGCCATTTCACCACTTTTGATTTAACCAACAACAAGCAACCAACATTAAACAAGTTTTCCACTTCTCACGTAAATCTAATTTAAAGACACTAATCCCCAAGTCTGCTGAGACCTTTTGTACCCCAGATCTATTCAAATCCTGCACATGGACATGTCAGATCCCAGACTCAAGCCTCCAATCTCTTATGAAGCAGAGATGAGTTCGACACCTCTCTGATTATTAAAACTGAAACACCCAGAGAAACTTGCCTCACCTCGTAATCAGGTAAAGGAAATGTGAAAAGTAGTATAACCTGCCTCTCATCTCCCAATCTGTTATAAAGGGGAGCTGAAATAAAATGAACTCCTGACGGTCACGCTACAATCAACAAGTAACAATTTATTTATTAACAGAACTACTAACACACTGAACAATTTCCCCTTAACTACTAACTATTCCCAAATAAAACAAAATTCTAATGGTATGCTGTTCCAATAGATCCAAACCCCACTTATGTAAAGCAAATTAATAAGAAAAATTAAAACTTAATCTGTTGAAATTGGTCAGGATAAGTCTTCCTGAATGTTCTTTGCCTCCTCTGCAGTCCTTCAGTGAGGAACGCCTTCCTCTGCTGAATTCTTGTGTCAGGAAT